AATGGAGAAGTAATGATCAATCTTGTCCAGCTCTGAATCCTGTAAGCTACAACAACTGGCCTGGCAGGATACGACTATTGGTGCAATAGTGGCACGAATGTTATGGGAGTAATCAATAACTTTCTGATTTGATTTAAGGTCCATTTCACAAGATGTAGCCCATACTTGAAACTGATGTCAGGCCTAGGAACCTGTGACTAAACAGATCACAGCCCATAGGGGAGCACCTACTATTATTATTCTGCTAAATAGACATTGTATTAAACTGACTCCTAATGATTTGTTATTATATCCACTGATTAATGTATCTCTTAACTCTCAATAGAGAAACTTCCTTATGAAGTAGATGGTGATGAACTCAGAGATTCACAATTGGCCAACTTGCATAGAACAAGAGACAACAGGGTTCTTATCACTGATTAGGACAGTGCCTGCCCAAGGCTCTGAAACATTAAGGGAGAGGGGCAGAAAAATCTCTGGGTAAGAACCAGAGATCCTTGAGGACCATGAAGAAACAGTTTTCCAAATAGTTGGGAAAATAAATTCACAGAAATGACAGCAGCATGTGCAAGTCCCACATAATCTTAAACCAGACAATATCCCAGTATAGAAGTGGGCAAGTAGGTAACAAACCCCAGTACAGCTGAATAAATACTGGATAATGATTATTAGCTGCAGGGGTGGGGAGAGTCAGTCTTGTTAAGTGGCTCTAGATAGGTTAGCCAGGCTTCAGAGGATGGAACCACACACACCAAAGGTCACTTTGGGACATAAATTTGACTTGATTAGGCTTAAAAATTATCAATTAGAGTACTGAAATCATCAGGCAGGGAATAAGAGGGGTTTCCAATTAAGGGAGAGGCTCTAAATATGCTTAACATATATTATAGGAAATTATCAAGAATGTAATAAAAAACTTAAAAAAATGCAAATTTTAGGAAGCATGCTTAATGAAGGGAACAATAGCTCAATTAAGTGCTACACAGAAAAGTGACTACTTGGTATGAATAATTGAAATGCAAATTTCATTTGCCCTTCAGACAGTAACATTAAGCATCTTTCTGAGTTGTTTTCACTGAAAACTGCACGAAGCAATTTATCAGTGAAGCATATTATTCCCACAGCATCTACTTCCCTCCAAGCCCTCTTCAAACCTTAAGTATCAGATACATATTCCCTGACCTAGGAATATATTTGTTTCAGATATATGAATATTAATATACCTTTCATTCAGTTGAGTCAAAGTTACCTAAAAGTATGATGAGGTTTACGTATGGTTAAATTTTATAAACAATTTATAACCTTGCCTTGGAAAAAATGAAAAATTATTGCTTTTGTATACTTTAAAAACATTGAGTAAAATTATAAAAACCAATAAAAATTCATTCAGTAGACTGTTTTAGTCTTGAAAGTAAATTATTTGTATATTACTTGATTCTTTAAAAAGAATCTCATAACAGAAAATCTCATAAGAGATTTTCTCCAGGTAGACATGTTGTTCCCTGCATTTTGTACAAAGGACACCAGGGCATCTTGGAAAGAAAGTAAAAAGAACCATTAAGTTGTGAGACAAAAGCTCATTAAAGAAGCCATTTGAAGAAATGACTTGTCTACTCTATTACACACAAATTGCTTCTAGGCACTAAATAAGCTCTCTCTCTGTGAAAAAAGCAAATCAGTCACGTTGATTTTGTGAACATTTATCTTGAGTTCTTTAGTGCAATTAGAGAAAGCAGGAAGGCTGTCCTACTTAAAATGAAAGACATTAAAAAAATCTTCACATGTTTACTCATTTCATAAATTAGAATGTACTTAAGTGAAATAAACAAAATATTCTGTCATTTTCAATATTCATCTGTCTTTCTGAAATGAAGGTCTTGAATGATATAAAATTTTAATGCTACATATAAATTTTGGGAACATTAAACAAGCACCTAATTATCTTTATGGGTATATGGATTAATAAAATTAGTCTATCTCAGGTATATATAATGTTTAAAATATGTAGAACTTTATCAAAATAAGGAA